ATGTGTACTATGACTGTGCGTGAGTTTAAGTACGTACACAACTTGATGAGTCTCTGAAGACTTCTTATGTTATTTCTTAGTTCTTAACTATATATTCTGAGTAATTAATATCAGATAAATTACTTCTTGATAAGTGAAGTGTAGTACACATTGTTATCAAAAAACGTTTGCATAATTTTTATTTTCTCTAATAAGACATTGTACAAATGCAATGCAGAAGGGAAAATAGTTATATTGAAGATCTGATTAGAATGTAGAAATAGATCTTTTTAGTTGCTAAAGTAATAGCTAATTTTTAGTATTTTATCTATTTGCATTCCTACTTTTTCTTAAGTTAGTATATTATTGCTTAAATGGTTGTATACTGATGATAGCCATCAACTATATATATAGGGCTTTGAGAGTTATATAGAAATTATATACCAGAAATTTGCACATTAAGGTGCAGATAACAGAATTTTTTAAACCTTTAACCACATGAGGACTTTAAGATAAGAATGATGAACAGGAAGGAAATATTTTCAATGAAAGTAGACTGCAGTGATTTTCAAACAGCCTTATAGATTCTTCTTCAATCCAAGATCATTAAAAAAAATTTTTCCTTAGCATTCCAAATTTCATATCTCATTGTCTTAACTGTACATTTCTGCCTGCTTCAGTGAGAAAAAAAATTATTTTTAGATTTAGGTTTTCAAGAACCTGGGACTTTAGATCCTTATTGTCACCCCGTGTTAATACCATTTCCCTGGGTAGACAAGTCCCAGTTCAGGTTTCTGCGTGTATCCTAACCTTTTGGGGAAGATAGAACCACTCTCTTGTTTTTCCTGTTTCCCAGGTGCTAAAACAGTGAGACTAGGGAAGAATGTTTATGGAGAGGTCCGACCTCTGAGTCCACGCCTCATTAATATACATGCTTTGGAACCTGTCTCTAAAAGTGGTGTAGAGAAAAGAGGAGAGTTTGGAGTTAGAGCTCTTGGGTTCCAGTTCCAGCTCTTCTGCTTACTGAGTGATCTTAACCTGTGAAGTAGAGATAATAGTGCCTATAACTTGGTCATTCTCCTGAGCCTAAATATGTGAACACAGTTTTTTAAGTCTAAATACCACAAGTAATTATTAATGCTTATTTATTATTAACAATCTATTGTGTAATAACCAGTAATAATAACTATGAAAGATTTGTGTCCTCTGCTCTTGACTTTTATAGAGTGATTGATTGTTACCATACTCTTCAGACTGGGAAACTTGAGCTTTAGCTTTTAAAAAGATCTTTTTTTTTAGGGATTTTTGTTACTGTCTCTAATAATATTTTTAATAAGAAGGATAGAGATTACGTTTAAACAATGCCCTGCCTCAGCAGTATATACCCTGCTAAGTTTGTGCTCTATGAATTATATAAAATTATATATGTTATATTAATAACTGTTATTTAGCTGATCTTCATCATTAAAATCATCATAGAAGAGCACTTAACAGCTTTTCATATATTATCTCATTTGATCTTTGTAACCATGAAGTAAGGTATTCAAGATAAACATTATCTTGATGGATTCTTTTTTCTAAATAAAAAAATAAGACTATGTTTCATATGCTCTTTCACTTGCCATCCTCATATGGTTTTTTAAAGCCGTTTTATTGAGGTATGATTGACATACATTTAATATGTACAACTTATGTATTTAATGTATACAACTTGATGAGTTTGGAGATAAGTATACACCTATGAAACCATCACCACAGTCTATGCTGTGAACGTATCTATCACCTCCAAAAGTTTCCTCCCACCCTCTGTTTATTATTTTTTTTTGTATGTGTGACGAGAACCCTTAAAATAAGATCTACCCTCTTAGCAAAGTTTTAAATATACAATACAGTATTGTTAACTATAGGTGCTATGCTCTACAGTAGATCTTTAGGACTTATTCATCTTGTATAACTGAAACTTTGTACCCTTTGACTAATATCTTCTCGTTTTCCCCTCCCTCAGCCCCTGGCAACCACCATTCTACTCTCTACTTCTATGAATTTGACTATTTTAGATTCCTCACATAAGCAGTATCATGAATATTTGTCCATCTGTGTGTGGCTTATTTCACTTAATATAATGTCCTCCATGTTGTTGCAAATGGCAGGATTTCTGTCTTTATTAAGGCTGATTAATATTCCATTGTATGTATATATACACCACGTTTTCTTTATCCATTTCTCCATCAATCGATATTTAGGTTGCTTTCATGTCTTGGCTATTGTGAATATTACTGCAGTGAATATGGGCGTTCAGATTTCTCTTCAAGATGCTAATTTCAATTTGTTTAGATATATATCCAAAAGTGGGATTGCTAGTTCATATGGTAGTTCCATTTTTAATTTTTTGAGAAGCCTCCGTACTGTTTCCCTAGTGACTGTACCAGTTTATATTCCCACCAACAGTGTACAGGGGTTCCCTTTTCTCCACATTCTATCCACATACCTCGCTCTTTTGTGTTTTTTTGATAATAGCCATTCTAATAGGTGTGAGGTGATATCTCATTATAATTTCAATCGCATATTTCATTGTGCTTTTGTAGTTTGACACAATCCCGATCACATATTTCATTGTGCTTCTTAGTTTGACATAATCCCATGGTCTATTTTTGCTTTTGTTGCCTGTGCTTTTGGTGTCATATCCAAGGAATCATTGCCAAGGCCAATGTCAAGAAGCTTTTTCCGTATGTTTCTTCTGGGAGTTTTATGGTTTCTGTTCTTATGTTTAAGTCTTTAATCCATTTTGAGTTGATTTTTGTATATGGTATAAGATTAGGGTCCAGTTTTATTCTTTTACGTGTGGATAACCAGTTTTCCCAGCACCATCTATTGAAGAGACTATCCTTTCCCCATGGTGTAGTCTTGGCACCCTTGTCGAAGATCAGTTGACCATATCTGCGTGTGTTTGTTTCTGGACTCTCTATTATCTTCTGTTGGTCTATATGTCTGTTTTTATGTCAGTACCATACTGTTTTGATTACTCTAGCTTTGTAATCTATTTTGAAATCAGGAAGTGTGATGCCTCTAGCTTTGTTCCTCTTATTCAAAATTGCTTTGGCTATTTGGGATCTTTTGTGGTTCTATATGAATTTTAGCATTGTTTTCTATTTCTGTAAAAAATACCATTGGAATTTTGATAGGTATTGCCCTGAATCTGTAGATTGCTTTGGGTAGTATGGACATTTTAAGAATATTCTCCAATCCATGAACAACTTTCCATTTATTTGTATCTGCTTTAATTTCTTTCATCAGTTTTTTTATAGTTTTCAGTGTACAAGTGTTTCACCTCCTTGGTTAAATTTGTTCCTAAGTATTTATTCTTTTTGATGCAGTTGTGAATGGGATTGTTTTCTTAATTTTGTTTGT